TAATTTATTTCAATATTAAAATCCAACCTTCCAATTTATGAATATATTGATTTTTTACCCGACCACTCTTACCAAATATCATATTTATTGGTTTTATAGTTGAACATACAAACATTTTGCTCACTCAAATACCACGAACATAGAGTACTTTTGCAATTCTTTCTATCTCTCTTATTTACGTACATATTGAAGTAATGAAATGAGCCAGGCCATTGGAAGAAACAGTAAAACAATGTTGAGAACCATAAATTTGGACGAAAGCTGAAGTCGTAGCTGGCCCACGGTGTAAAGTGAGCTGATTCTTAGCTTTTAGAGCATTTGTTATCTTGACGATAATTTTTGGGTTTTGGATGATCGATCATTCGATGGTAGTGAATTGGTAATCGAAGAACAATGAAATTCAGAGAGAAAGCCCAAGTGTTGAAAATAAACATATTTTGTTGAAATGGTAGAAAAAAAATATAGGCATGAACACATTTGTGCTTGGTTTGTTTCACTTTTATAGTCTATAAATAGTGGAATGGAAGGTAAAAGTGGATTGTATATTTGAGAAGTTTCAATATTCGTATTCTTGCCATAAATAGTAAATATGGATCATTTGATAACATTTTCATTTATTGTTTATTGTTCCAACATAATGTCTACAGACTCGTGGGAAAGCTTTCTCTTTTTGGGTTTTTATTTTTTATTCCTGAAAAAATCATTGGTTGTGGAGATTAGAGAAATGATTATCCAAGAGATTAGGTGCGAAATCCTCCATTTAGTTTCTTCGGAGATTAGAGGGAGGATTCCTCATGGAGATCACATTGGAGACAAGGAATTGTTTTTTTTTTCAAATAAATTTTTACCAAAAAAATTTTAATTTTCTAATACTGATCCTATTAAAAAAATGTATAAATTAAAATAAAATTAATAATATTTCTTATTGAACATTTAAATGCTATACAAGGGAGATGTAGTAAGAACATACCATATAAAGAGCGTGTAAGATCATGTAAGATTAAAAGCTTATTGGACATTTAAATTATACGTTTATACTCTGACATAATATCTAATAGGCCTCTAAATTTTGATTATTTTAGTTCAACATTTCAGGAGTAGAAATCGAACATTCGAATTTTGTTATCTTAATTCATACCGTATCTTTTAAATTACGTGTAGGGTAGCTCATACCTTATCTACAAAGGGTTATGTATCTAAATAATATTTTGACCCAAAATGTGAAAGCTCGTTTGTTTAGAATGGGGTCCAAATAAATTGAGTTCATTTCACATCCACCAGATTTGAAGTTAGAGCTTGAATGTCGAGTTCGCCTGAATTTCAGAACCAACTCATCCATAAACACCTATGGAAGGATAACAACCTTCGATTTTGATAAGTATGGTCGGAAGGAAGAAGAAACCCTAGAAATAATTCTATGGCTATTTTTGTTGCAATTTGATAAACTTTTTACCAAAATGATCGTATCTAATTGTATAAAAGTACTATAAGTTCGACATCTTAGAATACACTAAATAATTGCTTGATGATGGTTTATATTTGCACTTACGAGATGACCTCCTTCCCAAGGAGTTTGCAGTTTGGAGGCATTAGACTTCATGACATTTTTGTATGTAAACTAGTTTATTACCCTTTTGCTTCTAAGCTCCATCGAGTCTTTGTAACAGAGCTGCTATCACATTAATATGGAATAAAAATGAGTTCAAGAACGTGTAGTATAGAGCGATTTGAACCTCTGATATCATCGAGAGTACAATCTCATGACCATTTAAATTATGATCAGGTTGAAATTAATTTGTTTTGTTGATCTTATACTAGAAAGGAATTTGCACAGGTTGTATATTTTAATATAACATGGCTGAATTATTATAAAGTAGGTACTTTTGATTAAAAAGTCAATTTACCAAGTGGATACGGTAGTAAATAGGGTAGTGAAGAACAACATTAGGAGAGAGAATGCAAGGGTTGAAAATGAATTCATTTTGTAAATATGAGAATACTTGTCCTTGGTTCGTTTCACTTTTATACTTGCAAGATTAGTTTTAATTGTCAACCATCTTGGATTCATCTGTTCTTTGGATCCATCTTTTATATTAAGATGGTTGACCAAATATTACGTGCTTATTTATTTATTATTATTAGTATTTTTGTTATTTACAAAAACAACTCCTAAGAGCGATCGGTAACCATCCGTCGATAAATGGAACCCATATTCTTGAGTGTAATGTTACGGTCCTTTAACTTTAAAGCTGATGAACAAGGGAGGGTTTCGATATTTTGTATTCTTGTCATAAAGAGTGTAATTATGGACTTGTTTGGTAATGCGCTCTTATTTATTGTTGAAAATATTGAGAAGATATTTTGGAGATAGATTAGTTAGAATATATCTGAGATATTTAGGGAGTTGTTAGTATAAATTTGATTAATCGTATATTTTATTTATTTACAAGATTTAGTTAGATATATTATTTTTTTCTATTTTTAGGTATTAGTTAATAGTTTGTATCTATTTAAACGTGGTAAACCTGAATGAAGATCATACACTTTTCCAGTTCTATTTTCTATTTCTATTTCTTAACATGGTATCAGAGCATCGATCGTAAATATCAATATTTCCTTTATGGCGGGCTCAGCCAAATCCAGCTTTAAAATTTCGGATGTTGATTTAACACATCCTTACTATATGCATCACTCTGATCAGCCAGGATATTCACTTGTTCCAATCAAATTAAATGGAGCAAATTACCAATCTTGGAGTAAATCAGTTATGCATGCTCTTATTGCCAAGAAGAAAATTGGCTTCATTGATGGCACAATTGAGGAACCGCCCCAAGATGCAAATTCAACCGAATTCGAACTCTGGAATCAGTGCAACAGCATGATAATATCTTGGTTAACTCATTCTGTTGAAGCAGATATCGCTAAAAGCATTATTCACGCCAAGACAGCTCATCAAGTGTGGGTTGATCTTCGCGATCAATTCTCACAAAAGAATGCTCCAGCAATTTTTCAAATACAAAACTCGATAGCAACGATGTCACAAGGAACCATGGCACTGTCAACATATTTCACCAAGCTCAAAGCACTCTGGGATGAACTGGAAGCGTACCGCACACCATTTACGTGTAATCAACGTCAAATACATATTGATCAACGCGAAGAAGACAAGTTGATGCAATTGCTCATGGGGCTCAACGAGTCTTATAAAACGGTGAGATCTAACATATTGATGATGTCTCCATTACCTAATGTGAGGCAAGCTTATTCATTACTTGTACAAGAAGAGATGCAGCGACAGGTAACTTCTGAACCTGCTGAGAATTTCTCGATTGCATCAGCAGTGCAGAAGAAAACAACATATTCAAAATTCGCCAAGGACAAATCATGTGAACACTGCAATAAAAGTGGTCATACAATCAATGAGTGTCGAATTCTTAAGTTTCATTGTAAGTTTTGTGATAAAAGGGGACATACAGAAGATCGGTGTCGACAGAAAAATAATTCTACAAGGACAAGACAAGTCAATCAACACAATCATCGTGGATACCGATCATCTGCAAATATGGCCGATGTTTCACAGTTGAATACAGGAGAACAGTCACCTAATTCCATTCCAAATTTTTCTTCTGAGCAATTACGACAGATAGCACAAGCCTTATCTGCAATCAATCAAAACCCTTCTGGTAATTCTGACAATCACATCAATGTTGCAGGTTTGTTTCCCATATCTACATTATCTGTTAACTCTGCGAGTTCTAATTCATGGATTCTCGATAGTGGAGCTACGGATCATATAGTATCAAAATCTTCTGTTATGACTGATCCAAAGGCTGCCATCATGTCTACAATAAATTTGCCTAATGGAGAGACAGCACGTGTGTCACATACTGGCAATATTTCCCTTAGCCCTAACCTTAAGTTAAACAACGTTTTATGTGTGCCTTCATTCAATTTAAACCTAATGTCGATCAGCAAACTTACCAATAACTTGAAATGTTATGTCACCTTCTATCCTGATTCTTGTGTTATGCAGGACTTGGCTACGGGGAAGATGATTGGCTCGGGTAAACAATTTGGAGGTCTCTATCATATTTCTTCATCTCCAATCAAATCTTCAGCTCATCAAGTATCTCAGTCATCTGATTTGTGGCATTTACGTCTAGGTCATCCTTCTTTTTCTCGTTTTAAATTTCTAGCTGATCAATTGCATCTTAATAATGCGAGTTATTCTCATAATTGTAGTATCTGCCCGTTAGCAAAACAAACTAGGTTGTCTTTCCCAAGAAGTTCAATAACAACCCATTCTGCCTTTGATCTGATACATTGTGATGTTTGGGGACCACATAAAATTCCTACCCATTCTGGTTTGCGTTTTTTTCTCACTATTGTTGATGATTTTACTCGATGTACTTGGGTTTTTCTAATGCAACATAAGTCAGAAGTACATCATTTGTTAATGAACTTTGTTAAATTTGTTCAAACTCAATTTCATACTACTATCAAGATAGTTCGATCAGACAATGGGACTGAGTTCCTATCTTTGCAACCATTCTTTACTTCTTGTGGTATTGAATTTCAGCGCACTTGTGTCTATACTCCACAACAAAATGGAGTTGTAGAACGTAAGCATCGCCATATCCTAAATGTAGCTAGGTCTCTTCTTTTTCAGTCACAGGTTCCACTTAATTTTTGGGGAGAGTGCGTTTTAACGGCTGTTTATCTTATAAATAGAACGCCATCACCAGTGTTATCTAACAAGACACCCTTTGAAGCACTCTACAAACGATCACCTACATTTCATCATCTTAAAGTTTTTGGTTGTAAATGTTATGCAACTATAGTACATCCTAAGCAAAAATTTGAACCTCGGGCAATTCCTTGTGTTTTCGTAGGATATCCTTGTGGTCATAAAGGTTACAAATTGTATGACATGCAATCTCACAAATTCTTTATCAGCCGTGATGTTAAATTTTGTGAAGATGATTTTTCTTTTTCATCAGCTTCACAGACTTCGACATTAGCTCCTTCGACTCCTGTTGTTCCACTTCATGATCCATCCTACTTAAGCACCCATCCTCCACCTTCCATTCCTCCTTCACCTCCTATCCCTTCACCTACTACTTCGTCGTCTCCTCCACCTTCTCCAGATTTGCCCACTGATTCCAATCCTATCCCGCCTGATACATCAGCTCCACTCCGACGTTCTACTCGCACTAAACAGCCTCCAGCTTGGCATAAGGATTATGAGATGTCTTCTGGAGCCAATCATTTAACCTCTAGCTCAAGTCCCGGCACTGGCACCAGGTATCCCCTTCATCATTACCTTTCATTCTCTCGTTTTTCTCCTACTCAACGTGCTTTTCTAGCTCTTATTACATCCCAGACAGAACCTAAAACCTATGACGAGGCAGTTGGCGACCCTTTATGGCAGCAGGCTATGAATGATGAAATTGCAGCTTTGGAACGTAATCATACATGGTCTCTCGTTCCTCTACCACCTGGTCATAAAGCTATTGGTTGTCGCTGGGTGTACAAAATTAAATACAACTCTGATGGTTCTGTTGAACGTTATAAAGCTCGACTTGTAGCAAAGGGATACACTCAGGTTGAAGGTATTGATTACACAGAAACATTTTCCCCTACAGCGAAACTTACTACACTTCGTTGCTTACTCACGGTTGCTGCTGCTCGAAAATGGTTCACCCATCAGTTGGATGTTCAAAATGCCTTTCTCCATGGTAATCTAGACGAGGAAGTTTATATGTCTTTACCACCAGGTCTTCGCCGACAGGGGGAGAATACAGTATGTCGGCTCCATAAATCTCTTTATGGATTAAAACAGGCTTCTCGCAATTGGTTCTCCATATTTTCTACAACTATACAAAATGCAGGCTACACTCAGTCCAAAGCAGACTACTCTTTGTTTACCAAGAGTAAAGGTACTTCTTTCACTGCAGTTCTAATCTATGTTGATGATATTCTGTTGACAGGCAATGATCTCAAAGAAATGCAATATCTCAAGACTAGTTTACTCCAGAAATTTCTTATCAAAGATTTAGGAAATTTGAAATATTTTCTAGGCATTGAATTTTCTCGGTCTAGAAAAGGAATTTTTATGTCTCAAAGGAAGTATGCTCTAGACATCCTTCAAGACACAGGCCTTACACGAGCACGTCCAGACAAATTTCCTATGGAGCAAAATCTGAAACTTTCTTTAACTGAAGGAGAGAAATTGAACGATCCAAGTAAATACAGACGGTTGATTGGTAGATTAATATATTTGACTGTCACTAGGCCTGACATAGCTTATTCAGTTCGTATGCTTAGCCAATTTATGCATGAACCAAGAAAACCACATTGGGAGGCAGCTCTTCGAGTTCTGAGGTACATCAAAGGCACTCCTGGTCAAGGACTCCTACTGCCATCTGAAAACAATTTAAGATTACAAGCATATTGCGATTCTGACTGGGGTGGTTGTCGAACTTCCAGACGGTCTATTTCTGGATTCTGCATTTTCCTTGGAAATTCAATTATTTCTTGGAAGTCTAAAAAGCAAACTAATGTGTCCAGATCATCAGCAGAAGCCGAGTATCGAGCTATGGCAAATACTTGTTTAGAGTTAACTTGGTTAAGATACATTCTTCAAGACTTGAATGTTCCACTGTCCGAACCAGCATTATTATATTGTGATAATCAAGCAGCATTACATATAGCAGCCAATCCAGTTTTTCACGAACGTACGAAACACATTGAAATAGATTGTCATATAGTTCGAGAAAAGTTACAAGCTGGAATCATCAAACCATGTTATATTTCGACCAAAATGCAATTGGCAGATGTTTTTACTAAAGCTCTAGGAAGACAGCAATTTGACCTTTTGAAGGACAAGTTGGGTGTGATCGACATACACTCTCCAACTTGAGGGGGAGTATTGAGAAGATATTTTGGAGATATATTAGTTAGAATATATCTGAGATATTTAGGGAGTTGTTAGTATAAATTTGATTAATCGTATATTTTATTTATTTACAAGATTTAGTTAGATATATTATTTTTTTCTATTTTTAGGTATTAGTTAATAGTTTGTATCTATTTAAACGTGGTAAACCTGAATGAAGATCATACACTTTTCCAGTTCTATTTTCTATTTCTATTTCTTAACAGAAAATAAAAATAGAACCATATTTGATAATCATTTTTTTTTAATAAAAAACTATAGGCTTGGAACTCAAACATTATTAGTTATTGTTCTATAAACTTTTGAATTAAAAATGTAAAAGTATGTTAGGCATATATACCATTTCAAACCCACGTCAGCAAAAAAAAATTGTCATCGTTTTAGTTTCTTCCTCAGCTATGATATTTCATTCTCTTGGTCCTTACTATCTTGCTCGTCGCTTCTCTCGGTTCAATATATTATTCTCTCGTTTGATAATAATTTTTTGTAGTATAGTCTTTTTTACTCGAATAAATATATGATTGAAATGTTGGGTTACATGCACCATGAGTGAACTTGTTTGTCTGATGAACTGTGACGATGTTCAAGTTTTTGATGAGTTCTGCAGATGAGCTGGGTAAAACAGACGAATATTTTCTTCTCCACTCATGCTTTGTTGCTGCAACAAGCCATGAAATAATTACACAATTATCTTATCCTTCCCCTTTTGTCACGTATGCTTCATCAAGCAAAGGTGCTATCCCCTTCATATGAAATAAAAATGAGTTCGAGTACGTGTAGTATAGAGTAATTTGAACCTCTGATATCGCCGATAGTACAATTTCATGACTATTTAAATTATGATGATGTTGAAATTAATTCATGTTTTTTTTTTTTTTTTTATATTGTATTAGAAAGGTATTTGCATAATTAGTATAACTTAATATGATGTAAGTCAATTGTTAAAAGTGTACGTACTTTTGATTAAAAGGTAAAATTTCTCAATAGATATTGTCTTCTTTACGTTTTAAAACGGGTCTACTATGGAGAAATTTCTACTCTTTTATAATTCGTTCCCCTCTCCAACCGATGTGAGATCTCCCTGAGAGAATGTTACAGCTAAGAGAGTAGGTTCTGACCTACACGACATACACGAAGACAACATGTGAGTGTCGCCCATCTAACCACTTTAGAGTCGTAATAAACAAGTGTCATGACGCGACAGATGTAAGACGTGACATTAATCATGTCGATTTGAACAAGCTTATAAAATAAATTATTTTGATCGGGTGACAATAAATTAAATTCATCCTTCAATAGTAAATAGATTAGAAAAAAATAAGGATATTAGTCGAGATTGCCCCTGCGTTGAAATTTAACCCATTTTTGTCTAAATAACAAAGACAAGTAGTAACATAAGATTAAAAGGTAATGAATCGTTTAAAGTTTAAAACTATATAAAATAAAAAGTTAATTTCTTTTTGTAGCTTTTCTCTTTTTTAAAAACTATTTTATCATCCTATCTTCTTTTTTAAAGACTTAGCATAAGTATTGTATGCTTTCACATACCTAATCGAATCTTAATATTATAATTTCTTAAAACTAATACACCATATCAAATTTTCAAGATTGAAAATGAATACACATTTATTTTAATATCATAACCGAACCTTCCAATTCATGGATATATCGATTCCTTATATTGATTTAGGCAGCCATAAGTAGAAAATATCATACAATGTGGGTCTTGGAAGATTGATCCATTGATGGTATTAAATAGTGTAGCAAAGAAGAATGACATTAGAAGGGACAATGCAAGTGTTGAAAATGAATTCATTTTGTAAATATTCGAATACTTGTTGTTTCACTTTTATACTTGCAAAATTAGTTTTAGTGTTCAACGGCACCCGATCTGTTATATTGGGGTGGGTGACCAAATATTTACGTGCTTACTTATCAAATTGTTTTATTTATTGTTATTAGTATTATATTTATTCACAAAAACAACTCATATCGTTAACCATCCGTCTTACATATTATTGAGTGTAATGTTATGAGCTTTTAACTTTTAAAGCTAATGAACAAGGGCGGGTTTCAATATTTTATATTCTTATCATAAACGAGGGCAATTATGGACCCATTTGATGACGCATTCTCATTCATTGTTTATAATAAAAATGGAATTAATTATTTTATTTAGTGGAAAATATATGTTTGATAATAATTATGGGTTATTATTCTCTAAAATTTTGAATTAAAAACATAAAAAGTATAAGATGGAAATTAATTTTGTGTTAAGGTTGCTTAAGTGTCCTTCAAATAGTCTAATTCTCATAGCTTCTCATGGCCTAGTTCAACTAGTCTTTTATCTTGTCGTCACATCTCATCACTCTAACTCCTCAGATCATATTTATCCATCAGAATTTTGTACATGATCCTAAGATAAATTGGTTAACACTTTACTAGTCCCTAAGTCGTACATTTACGTATCATGAATATATGAGGTCCACTATTTTCTGATAATATTTTTCATGCAACACCAAAAATTGTTATTTTTTCATGTATGATAGATTGCAAAATGGCTTAATACGGTATGTTGGTATTTCTCTCCTCTAATATGTCCTTTCTTAATAAAAATGTTTATATTATTGACACATTGTAAGGTGTCTTTTATATCACATCTTTGTATTATCCTTTCTTTAAATAAACGGAACGTTTTCTATTAATTTCTCCCAAAGTTGAAAAAAATAAAGAAATGAAAAAAACCTTTTTTACTTGACTATGCGACTTCATTAGACCTTAGGCAAGGTTCTTCTTCTTTAACCGAACATAACTTATGCAGAAACTAAGCTTTGTTCAATGACACATGTAGCGAGTACAGAGTATATGTTCACTTGATAGAAATTCTAACCGACTTGCCTCTACTCTCAGCCAAGTCCTAAGGCTCGCCTTTACTTTTACTCTAGACCCAAAATCTTTCGAATGCCATATTGCATCTCATACAGTTGTTTTGATTGTCAATCACGACCAAAATAAGTTAACAATTCTTAATATCATAACTTATGTCGGTAGCATTTATAGTTCATTTATCATATCAAGCTTCAAAAAAAGAAAAAAAAAATACAGAAACAAACAACATGTCAAGAACATTTATTTATTTCAATGTTAAAATCCAACTTTTCAGTTTATGAATATATTGATCATTTACCTAACCACTCATAGCAAATTTGATAATTCTTGGTTTTATAGTTGAACAGGCAGATATTTTTCTCCCTCACGTACCACGAACATAGAGTATTTACGCAATTGTTTCTATCTCTCTTATCTATGTAGATATCAAAGTAATGAAATGAGCCAGGCCATTGGAAGGAACAGTAAAACAATGTTGATTGCCATAAATTTGGACGAAAGCTGAACTCGTAGCTGGCCGACGGTGCCAGCTTGCGGACTCCTAAATCATCATCGCCAGATTTGCAGTGAAAAGTGAGCTGATTGTTAGCTTTTAGAGCATTTGTTATCTTTACGAAAATCCTTGGGTTTTGCCATATTCATCCTTC